CGGGCTCCAAGGGGCCTTGAATTTTCCACATCCCTCTATTGGCCCCCCCCCCTGACTAACCAAATGCCCGCCCCCGCCCCCGGATTATCTAGAAGGCGAACGAGCCCTGCACGTTCGGGGGCGACATCTCGGACGCGGTCATCTGCCGGTGCCAGGACAGGATGATGGCCTGGGCCAAGGTGGCCCTGAAGCTTTCAGAGGCAGAGTTCCCCAACTTCGAAGTGACGTTAGCTTTCCAGGCGTTCGCCCTGCGCGTGTCTGAGGGGGAGAGCTGGGGCCAGACGCAAGAGGAGACGGCGGAGTTCGCGGGGCCATGCACATCGAGGAAACGCCGTCCTACATTGCTCTACTACCGCTCACCTCCCCCCGCTCAAAGTTGGACGCCCCCCTATCCCCCAGCAGGAGCAATTCCTGCGCTTCCAACGCATATCACAATATATGTATATGGATCAGAAGTGCGGCACAATGGAAGCATGGGCATTAGCTATCAAACGCAGCAATCTTCACATGCATCCACGATCAAAGTATGATAGCAGTGGGCTTGGTCTTCTCGTGCTAGAGGGCTTGGCACATGGAGGGGCCACTTCGGGAGTAGAACAACATTTCTCTGAACTTGATTGGGGGATTGCAAAAGGCCAAGAGCATGGAAATACGTGCCTGAAGAACGATGTACGACAGCTGCTATTAGACAGGAACGACCCCGAGAACGAGCTGACATCGAAGGCCCGAACAATTTGGGCTTCTAATTTTGGATGGAGTCGACGGCGAATTCGGGAACGCATCGACGCTGGGGTGCGGCGAGGGCCCAAGCGAGGGAACGCATATTCTAACTTCAGGAAGCGAAGGCTCGACATAAATAGAATAGCTGCCGCGGCCAAGAGAAAGCGCCCGAACCCCGATGCGGGCGACGTCGAACCTGCGATGACGAGTAAACCTAACAAGGAGATCGAGTTCAACAGCGACAAATTCACGAGCAAGAAACTGCAAGCTTATCTGGACCAGCAGTTACCCCCGGATGAGATTACTGACGAGCTCAAGCGCGAAGTTCAGAGACCAACAGATGAACGCCGACAAACAACGGCAGCAACGGGCACGCACCAAAGATATCCGACGTGCTGGAGGGAAGCCTCTACCAAAATATCAAATGCGGGGTCTACGAGTGCGCGTGCAAAGAGACCTGATGCCAGACAATCTTATGAAGCATATCAATGATTATGGCATGATATATGACACTACAACTGCTGCCTGCTGAATCCGCCTCCACTGGGCGCGCGGGGAGGGGGGTCGCAGGGGGGGGGGGGGCGGAAGACGAATGTGCGCGGGGCATCTAGAAGCGAAGACCGACCCACATGCGCGCGTGCCCCTGGTGACAGGGGCAGCGGATCAACGCGCCAATTCTAATGTTTTTGCTGTGGGCGACCCGACGAATCCAGGAGATCGGATACTGTGGCGTGCCATGCTTGTTGGTGGGCGCACCGTGTCTCCAGATCTGCGGTCACCTGAGGGCCCTGGGCCTACCGCCAGATACAAGCCCCCCTCAGCACGCCCAGGAAGTTGTGGATATCATATGATTTCAGAAAAATTATTCGGCCGCGGTAGAGATCATCACGCAAACTGCGCAGGCGGCCGCCGGATCCAAAATGGAGCTTGTTGATGGATCTATTGATGCATGTCGTGGAATCGTTCGTAGTGCACGATCGGATGGAAATCGAATGGGAGGAGAAGAAGGAAGAGGAGGATGAGGACAACGACGACGGCGACGACGTTGACGACGACGCCCCCAAGGCGAGGCCGCTGAAGCGCAACGTGCTTACCAGCGGCATGCCTGCCGAGGTCATCGCGAAGGTCGACGACGTGCGCGCGGCGAGCGGCATGCGCGGTTTCTAGAGTGGCGCCCAGTTCCTGCAGGGAGGCGGCTGTAAGAGGGGGGTTAAGTTGACCCCCCCCTCGCAGCGCTCTGGTGCGCCCCGGAGCGTTGCATCGACCCCCTGGCGCCCCTGGCGCGACCTGGGCCAAGCTCTTAGGAGGGGGGGGGGCCTCGCCAGGGGCGTCTGGGGGCCCTTAGGACGCTCGGGGTTGTCCCAGAGCGCTGTGAGGGGGGGTCAACTTCACCCCTCCCTTACAGCGGCCTTCGCTCCGGAAGCTGGCCCCGAACCAACGGGGCGCGGGATCGCCCGGGAGTGCTGCGAGCGTTCTCAGGAACGCCGTCGGTCGGAACCTCGGGATCGCCGGGGAGTGCTGTGACCTTTTCCTGGATTAAGCGTTTTCGGGGTCGCCCAGGAGTGCTGCAAGCGTTCTCGGTCCTCGGGGTCGCCCGGGAGTGCTGCGAGCGTTTTCGGGATCGAAGCGTTTTCGGGGTCGCCCGGGAGCGCTGTCAGCTTTTTCGGGATAATGGCTTGTCCTCGGGATCGCCCCGGAGTGCTGCAAGTGTTCTCGGGATCGCCCGGGAGTGTTGTAAGCGTTTTCGGCATCGCCCGGGAGTGTTGTTCGCGTTTTCGGGATCGCCCAGGCGTGCTGCAAGCGTTCTCGGCGGGGGGTGCCCTCGGGATCGCCCTGGAGTGCTGTGGGCTTTTTTGGGGTCCTGGCTGTAGTTCTCGGGGTCGCCCGGGACCTGGAAACGTTTTGTTGGGGCGCCCAGGGGTGCTGTAACCATTCTCAAGATCAGATAATGGTTCGGGGGCAGCGGTTGCTCGGGCGCTCGGCAGCGCAGACCTGGCGCCGACAAGGGCGCGCAATTCGTTTGATCGAGCTGGGGATTGTGAAAACATAACGAAAATCGACAACCCCACGACGAGCATGCCCCCTGACTGTCAGTCTCCTAATCGCCGAATGCCTTCCTTGAAGGGATGGGGGGAGGATGAGGAGGGATGAGGACGGATGAGGAGGGGGATGGATGAGGAGGGATGAGGAGGGGGAGGGGCGAGGTGGGATAAGGAGTGATGAGGAGGGATGAGGAGGGAAAGGGATGAGGAGGGATGAGGAGGGATGAGGTTTCATGTATACGTATGTGTAAATTCGCAGGTTGGGCACCCACCTCTAGGGCTGGCACCGTTGCCTGAAAGTGGATGCTGACGTCGTGGATATGCGTGCCACGTGGCTCAGACCCTTCAGGTCTTCTCGCAATTTCGTGCGTGCGACGCGAACTCAGCGCGGCCTTCTTTCCGCGATGGCCGGCCGCTCTGGCCGAGGTGGCCGAGGACAGGGGGCCGCGCGCCCCGGGCGTGGCGGACCAGCGCCCATGCCTGATGACGAGATGATCAGGGAGCACTACACATCTTTCTTTCGGGCGCTCACCAGGGTCCTGGACAACGAGCACTTCAATAATGTTACCCAGGTGGACCCTCGCGGCGTCGACCCCGACCCGGGCCCGCTCTCTGGCATCCAGGCCCCCATGCATTGCAGAACAATGCGCGGCCGCCTTGAAGTCGGCGGGGCAATGCAAGGCCGCGGGGAACATTCTCTGGTTCAACATGGCGTACTCTCCAACGCCAGGTGCGCCCATCAACAAGAAAAACGCCCAGAGGCTCGCGAGCCACAAGTTTGACGAGCCCCGCCGCATCGACGACGCGGTCCTGGCCGCGGCCTGCGAGAGCAAAGACTTCTAGCTGCATGTTCACAAGGGGGGCTCAAATGCGTGGCGCCGGAGGAGGCATTGCACGCGGTGATCTTTGGCATCGAGCAGGCCATCAACGCGGGCGCCAGCGGCGACGTCATGAAGAAGTGGCTGGCCGTCTGCTTGACCATGACATTTAGCTTCGAGCTGCTGGATGACGCCGACAAGTGCTACTGGCGCAGCAGGCAGATTCGTGAAGAAATCATCGTGAACTACAGGGCCATGGCCCGCATCGCATTCCAGTGGGTTTTCATCATCGTGAAGTTCGAGGACGCACGCATCGTAATAACATGATTCCTTTTCATCCCCCGCTGGCTCCACCTTATCACCTTGCCCCCCCCGCGCTCGTTTGCCCCGCCCTTTGCGCCGGCAGGACAGGCTGGAGACGCAGCGGGGCGAGAAGCTGAGCGCGGCAAAGATCTTCGAGGAGTGCGATAAGCACGCCAGTATGGCATCGAGTCAAAACACCGAGAACGACACGCGGACGAAGGCCTATGTGGATAGGGCCCTGACGGTTCACAAAGCGTTGCTCTCCGTGCCAGAAGTGAGGGGCGCGCTCATATGGTGCGAGGACGCTTGCGGAGTTGACAGCCCCTTCAACAACGCGGCGGCCCTGCAGAGCTTGGCCTCCAGGTGCACCAACAACAAGGACAAGGCGCCGCTCCGACGACGACCCGCTACGACGACGACGACAGCCACGGCAGCGGCGGCGACGGCGACCACGGCGGCGACGACCGCGACGGCGACATTGACGACGACGACGACGGAGCTCCAGGTCTGGACCATCAACTACATCGTGGACTTCGCGCGCGTGGGCGTCGTCGGCCTGCGCGGGCTCAGCGGGCGCGTCCTTGGCGGCGGCAAGGGGCAGAACAAGGGCTATGCCGACACCGTCGTGTACAAGAGAGCCTTCAGCGAGTTGTTTGCTTGGCGAGCTCATGCGCTGTCGTAAGTTCTCGGACAAGTTTGCGACGAAAGCTCGGGCGGATATGAGGTGCCACGCGGCGTTCCGCCGTGGCTTTACCAATTGCCCGGGCGAGCCTGAAGCCGACCGCTCGTGGATGGCCGGAGCTTCGAAAGCAGAGGGGTACTTCGTCAACTAGGTCAACGGCGCCATCTACGGCAAGGACTTCGACTCAGCATTCAAGATGGCCGTCAAAAACAGGAAGTCGCGCGAGGAGGTGCGGGGCGACGTGGCGATCAAGGAGAAGGTGGGCGAGATCGATGCAGAGCTCCCCAAGGAGAGCGCCGCCGCGGCGGCTGCGGCTTCGTCGGCTTTGGCCCCGGGGTCTTCGGGGGCGACGGGCGACGGCGAGGAGTAGGATCAACGCGCAATCCAGTGCATGTCGATGGGGTCGGGCTGAGCCAGCCCATCGAGCTACCCGAGGACAAGGAACAGCACTGGGTAGACTACGCTCAGCGCCTCGTCAAGACCCACGCGGCCCTGGTCGCAGAGCCTGAGGCGGAGTCCCAGGTGGGGGACATGTTAACGGACATGGGGCGCATAAGAAATATTGAGCCATAGTGAAACGAACGAGGGGGGGAGAAGTTAAAGTTGGGGGGGGGGGGGGGGGGGGGGCGAGGCAGAATTGAGGAAGGATGAGCAACAACGGCGTAGACCCAAATAGCTACGGAGGGAAGTGGGAGGAGGGGGGCGGGAGGCGGAGATGAGGAACATAAGAAGGGGGATGAGGATAGGGGGGGGGGGGGGGGGGGGGGGGCGAGGAATCCCCGCCCCGGGGTTTAGAACCCCATTGCCCCCGACCCCTCGCCCTTCCCCTCGAGGACAAGCTCCAGGAATGCGACGGCCCCCGGGGCAGCCCGGGCCACGACGCGCGCGGCCTCCTCTTTAACCTGCGCGGCGCGGCCGAATCCATCGCGGACCCGCGCCGCCAGATCGCGCCGCCGACGAAGGAGAGGCTGCAAAAGCTTGTTTCTGCGCGCGTGAAAGCTAGGGGGTGCCCAGATGGGACGCCACCAAAGGGGGGCGCGTTCATCTGCTCGGGCGGGGGGGGGGCCGGCAACGCAGCGAAGTTCTACAACGCAATGAAGGGCATCAGCGGGAAGAAAGATTGGCAGAGCCAGAAGAAGGTGCTGATTGCATATGAGGAGGAGTCGGCGAAGTGTCGTAGCTCGCGCGTGAAGGGCGCGCTGGCCTTGAAACAGGCACGCCTCGCCCTCTCCCTTGCTCCTCCTCCTCCTCCGCCTCCCCCTCCTCCTCCTCCTCCTCCTTCTCCTTCGCCTGCCCCTTCCCCCCTTCCTCGTCGCCCTGCCTCCCCTCCTTATCTACGTCCGCTGTCTCCCCCGTCTTCCCCTCTACTCCTCCTTCGCGACATCCCCCTCCCTCTCGTCTGACTTTTGTGTCATCGCGGTGCCCGGGCGCGCGGCGCCCGGGCGCCCGGGCGCGGCCCCCGACCTCGTCGCCCCCTTGCCTCCACCGCCCCGCCGCTCTAGAGGTGGGGGCCAGGCATGCGATAACCAAGGGCCCGCTAGACATCCCACAGAGGAAGAGGCTCAACTACCCAGGCACGAACACATCAGAATGCCTTGCGTTCGCGGCACTACCCCCGTGGAAAGAATTGCAGGGGCCCCAGCCGTGGCCACTGGAGGACGACGATAAAAGGAGAGGAGGAGGATAACGATGAAGAAGAGGGCCCAGGAGAGGGGCGATAAAGGAGAGGGGGTGCATGGGGAGGAGGAGGAGAAGCAGGAGGAGGAGGAAGAGAATGATGATGACGAGGAGGAGGAGAGGCGAGGAGACGGAGGAGGAGGCGGAACTATGTTGCTCAATGGTTTCAGTTCCAAGGTGGGGCTTGCCCTTCAAGGAGAGGAAACTGGCGCACTGGAAGAACAGGGTTGCGGTGGGGGGCAAGACCGACGGGGGCGATGACGAGGATGAGGAATGGGGGGGCCAGACACCGAGGACGCCCCCCCGCGCGTGGACGGCGTAACTCCCAAGTCCCGGGACAACGGCGACGATGGGCCCATGTGCTACAACAGCCTTCCTAAAATTCTGTACGAAGAGATCAAGCATTCATTTTGCATCGATTGTCTTGGCGTAGATTAGGCGCCGAGCGACGGGGGGAACGCCGAGGCTTTCTTGGACAAGAGGACCCCCTACATAGGGGTCTGTTTCAACGAGCACCGCGTAAATGCCTTCTACATCCACCTGATCGAATGCGTCCTCCGGAGCCCGAAGAACCCGAACAGCCCCCGCTTCCAGCCGTCGTTCCGGGCGGGCCTCAGTTCCCCGAGCGACGCGTGGAAGCATGGCGATGAGTTTGAGAACCCTTAGGGTAAGAAGCCGAAAATGGCGCCCAACCCCGCTGAGATCGAGGCAGAGATCGACAAAGAAGGCGATGCAGATGACGATGGTGACGGCGCTGCGTCGGGCCAGAGCACGCGAGGTCAATCTGATTTTGTAAATGCACTCGGCGCACGACGCAAACATTGTGCAAGTGCGTTGTGGACAATCCCTGGACTGACCCTTCCAGGGGCAATGCCGACGACGACGAATGCGACGACGACGACGACGACGAGGGCGAGGGCGAGGACAGGGGCGACGACGACGACGCGACGGTCTGACGGGGAAGTCCCGCGATGGGTCAGAGGGGTGCCGGGGCCCACGCGCAAGGTTTCAAGGCGTCCGTCGAGCTGCAGAGCTAGCTAATCCCACCTCACTTTCTCCTCTCTCGTCTACTCCAGCTCGCTCCACCTCGCGCTCCCTCTCTCTCTCTCTCTCTCTCTCTCTCTCTCTCTCTCTCTCTCTCTCTCTCTCTCTCTCTCTCTCTCTCTCTCTCTCTCTCTCTCTCTCTCTCTCTCTCTCTCTCTCTCTCTCTCTCTCTCTCTCCTCTCTCTCTCTCTCTCTCTCTCTCTCTCTCTCTCTCTCTCTCTCTCTCTCTCTCTCTCTCTCTCTCTCTCTCTCTCTCTCTCTCTCTCTCTCTCTCTCTCTCTCTCTCTCTCTCTCTCTCTCTAGTCTCGGCTCGAGAGTGCCCTGCACTCATAGCGTAGCCGCGACGCGAAGCGCCCCGCTCTGGAGTCCCGACTCCAGGCCTCGCGAGACCGGAACCGCGCCAGCAGCGCGGTACTGATTTGCGTCCCATCCTCCCTCCCACCAGAGCGCCCGCCGCAATGGCCCCCGCCAAGCCGGAGCGCCGTCGCTCTTCCAAGCAGCCGCCGAGCTCACGTCCTGCAGCTGAAGGATCCCTCCTCCAACGCAAACAGGACTGCATTGCAGCCTTCAAGCAAGCGGGGTCTGACCGCCCCACAGCCGCATACAACGGGCTCGCCGAGCTGAACGCGGACGAGCTGCAGGCCACGTACGACATGCACAAGACCAACACCAAGAAGCTCGGCAGTGCCTTGATTCGCATGTGTGCCGCCAACCAGATCAGCTACACGCTGGATCACCACCAGCGCAGCAAGCCTAAGCGCAATGGTGGTGACACACCTATCCACCAGCTGCGTCCGCACGTCTTCAGGCTGCGGACGCCAAATTTATTGCCTTGGACCCGGCCTTCTGGAAGGTCCCAGTCCTGGCCGAACCCACATCACTCGACGACGGCAAGACGTACAAGCCCAGCATCAGCCTCCACGACTACGAGAGTGGCGAGCGGCTGCTGCAGCACCATCTCGAGCAGGGTAAGCGTACCACGGGTCAGCTCGCGATCGCTGTCATGGGCCCAAAAAACGACAACTACGTCGGCACCGAGCTCGCCGTCCCCGTGCTGAAGCGCCACCCCAAGGCGCCCAATGTGGTTCACACGCACGTCCCCGTGACCGTGTACCAGCTGGGCACCAAGGAAGTCGCCTGCACGGAAAAAGTAGCCGTCGCCACCATTGATCCTGCCGACCACGTATGCTGGATTCGGGTGACCATACATGAAACTGAAGCCATCGCCGCAGTCCCCTCCTTTTTTCTTAGCAGTGGGCTGCATCAGGCTGCACAGGAACCCTCGAGTTTCCATTTCTCTTCTGGACTCAAACACTGGGATTATCCAAAGAGACCGTGGGTTGATGCAAGGAGCTGGGACAGCATGCATTCTGGCGCGCGTTTCGGTGGAAGATTGCTTCGCCTCCACTTTGGAGAAGATTACACATTCTTCTTTGGGAATCTCCATTCGCTGCGAGCAGTTGGGATTTGACTTCAGGATTGCTCTTCTCAGCTGGTCAGATAACATTTTTACAGTGGCTTCCTCGGAACAGGATCTTGCAACTCTGACCGCCCTAGTAGAGTCGGAGTTATGGAATGAACATCGGCTTAGGCTCAAAGACGATCGGGAAATCCTTCCGGCTTATCCTTACCACTTTCAAGAATACAAGTGGTCTGACCCCTTCGGGAAAACATGGTCTGTGGTACCGGAGGCTAAGGTGCTTGGCCCTGTTCTCACTGCCACTGGTTCCTGCCACGAAGATGTCAAGCGGGGTATCTCGCAGATCAACAAAGCCTTTTGGGCTAACAGTAAATTCTTGATTAACGAGCATATCCCCATGTCTAAACGTCTCTCTAAACTGAACTGCATGGCGGGAGGGATTATACGATCCAGAGGTGCTGCCTGGGTACCCTGTAAGACGACGGCGGACTTGATTACCAAGGCACAGAATCAATGTATCAGGATCATGTTAAAACTCAAAAGGCTCCCAGGGGAATCTCCTGAACAATTTAGTTTACGCAGAAATCGTAAAACCAAGGGGTTCAAAGAAGTTTCTTGGGCTATTTTCCATTTGGACTCTGCCATCAGTTGGGTTTCACACATGCAAAGACATCCAGAAGATTTTTCGTCGAGGCTGTTTCAATATTGCAAGCATTGGGTTACTCAGAATCGCTCCTTTGACCACTCTGGTGGCAGCCGTACCCACTCCCGCTCGCATAGGGGGTACGTTTTCAGGTACGATAAGGATGCCTGGACCACCTTATTTTCTCCGCAGGGTTCAAGGGACAAAAAGTTTCGTCTTGGCCTCGCCAAAGAAATGCTCGATTGGGTTCGGCAATCGCTTCACTTTCGCCTTCAGTAGCCATCGGCTCGGTCTGGTGCATCCAGGCACACTTCGGTATCGCACTGCGCCCATTGGGGCTCTTTACTTTCACCACGGACTCCCTTTACTCTCAGGACCTGGATTGGACTGGGAATCAGATTCAGCCAACTATCCCTCTTTTCTTTGGCTTCGACCGCCACGCCTTAGATCGTTGGGCTCGCAATCGCCAGGTCAAGATGGAAGCGAAACCCATTCTCACATCGAACGATAAGAAAATCAAGTTGCAGAAGAAGCTCGAACAGAAGAAGGAGGATCAAGCGAGGTCAGTAGAGTTCAAGAATCAGGAACTCAAAGCCAAGGCATCCTCTAGCGCTGGCTCTCGCGAGGCAAGGATTCTCCCCACCCCACCTCCTGCACCTGTGCGCAGGGAAAATTCGGCCTCGCGGAATGCAAGTACACAAATTTAACGTGACGAAATCCTCTGAGGTTTGGGTATCATACCTGATGGCAGCCTCAGAGAACAGGCTCCAATATTAATGGAGCGGGGTTTTGACTCCCCAACGGAATTCACTTTTGGTCTGCTTCAAGACCTCTTTGTGTTCTCTCTCCTTCTTTGCCTCCCGCCTTTGGGATTGGCTGACACCAGGAGATGTCACTTATGCGATTCTATCTGGGACCCGCCTGATCTCTGTGATCGTAGGGACACCGTGGCTTCGCAACAATCCCGCCCTCCTCGGTCTGCCTCTGCTGGGCCCTCTCTCGTTCCTTGCCCCTGTCGCCCCTGCAGTATCGGGCTCAAGATTTCGGTATGCTACTTCCCAAGGCGTCCGACCCTCACGTCTACTTTCAGGGGAAACTTTGCAGGTCTAAACGCAAGATTTGCTTCTTATCCAAGCAAGACCTTGAAGCATTCTCTTTCTGCTCCACGTTGCTATTCCAAAGGGCGGTAAAGTTGCCAGCGCGATTCC